TATTTTATTTAAACATTAGTTATATCATTCAAAAAATTTTACTGTATAACTGATTGAGACTTTCAATATTAATATGAATAGCGTCAAGATTTTAAATCTTAAATTCATACAAATTTCTATCGATATTTTGAATCAATTTTGTAAGTCTTTAAAAAGTTGAAACTTTTAAAAATGAAACTTTCAACTTAAAGTTTTGCATAAAGAAATTTGAATTGTAATTTAAACTCGAAAATAATTATATTTATTATTGAATTCGTATTATTTGCAGATCGTGGTGATATCAAAAACTGTTTCATATTTTTGCTAATAAATGAAGTAATATAAAACAATGGTGCATTTCAGCAAGGTATAATAATTATAACTTTTTTGTTCACAAATTATTTTCCTAATTTTCTATTACCAATTTGATTTTTCATAATTTTTTAGTAGTCAGTTTAATACAGAATTGTGTATTAAATCGACTACTAAAAAATTTACTTGTTCAAATAATTAATATATTTAATAATATTAAAAATAATAATAATAATAATAATGTGTTTTTTAAAAGCATGAAATTTCTGTTAGTTATTCAATTTCTGATGATATATGTTTTGAAGGGGGATTTTCTCTGGTTAGAACCTACAACATGCAGTCGATTCAATTGCTTAATTGGAGGCCGAGTTTTAGAAGTTGAAGATGACAAAATTAAAATAATAGACGATTTTTCGGAGGTAGCCAAACATATATTAAATATATTAAACACTAAAAATATTTAAAATTTGAATACTTTATTTCTTGCTCAATAATGACAAAATAAAAATTATACGATCTAAAAGATCATGAAGATTATTACTGTGAATATTTCTATTTAAAGTTTTTAAATTATTTTTGTAATATATAAAGGAACAATGGCTACCACTGGATCGTAATTACCGTATTATGCATGCGACATCAGTGCAAGGTGTTGAAGATATGATCAACTTAGGTGATTTGCACGAAGCTGCTTTGCTGCGCAATCTTTTCGTCCGTTATAATAATAAACTTATTTATGTAAGGTTTTTTTTTCCATATTCTAATGATTAACTTCACTTTTCATTTATTAATTCATGAATAATTATTAATTGAAATATATGTAATTGATATATTCAAGATTTTTATACTTTATTTACGCATGAATTATTATAGTTTTGCATATTAATTAAACGTATTTCTGCAAAATATTTGCATAATTTAATATTGTAATGACAAAATTATTTCTTAGACTTACGTAGGATCATTGCTAATTGCTGTGAATCCTTATGCATATTTACCGATATATTCAACTGAACAAGTACGATTATATCGTAATAGACGAATTGGTGAGCTTCCACCACACATATTCGCAATTGCAAATTCAGCTTACAGTAATATGAAAATAACTGGCCAAAATCAATCTATCATAATGAAGTTGGTTTCACAAATTTTTTTTTTTGATTCAAAAATTTTGATGTAAGCATTGCTTTTGAGAATTTAATTTTAAGCTTTATCACAAGGTTGAACGTTATGCCAACATATTTAAAAAATTATGATTATTTTACTGCGATTTTGAATTATAATTTTATGTATATGTAATAAATTTACAATCATTTAATTCAAGAGATTTTTATTTGTGCATTGTGTAAGGATTAAAATTTGGTAATGTACAAATTGAGATAAAAGAAAAAAATTTGTTGATCAATTTTTGATAGTGCAAAAAATTATGATAAAACAAGTTTAAAAAAATGATTTGAGGTTTTTTTTGAAACTCATTCAGTTAAACAAAGCATGCATAGTTTCAGTGGTGAATCAGGTTCAGGCAAGACTGAATCTGCAAAATTGGTAATTCAGTTTTTGGCAACAATATCAGGTCAGCATTCATGGATTGAACAACAGGTTTTAGAAGCAAATCCAATATTAGAAGGTACTTTTTGCAAGAATATACGCAAAACTAAAAGTTGCTATAAATTTTTCATGAATTTTTTCATATTCTGGTCAAATTATCACTATTTAATTGAATATTAGCATTACCGCATACATATACATAATGACAGCCATTTCATTCAAATAATTTGCAGCTTTTGGAAATGCAAAAACTACATATAATGATAATTCATCACGTTTTGGATGTGTGATTGAATTGTTTTTTACTGCTGGTGGGGCACTTGAAGGGGCTCGAATTGATCAATATTTACTGGAGAAATCCCGGATTGTTTCTCAAGTAGTTGATGAACGAAATTATCATATTTTTTATTGTCTTCTTGCTGGTTTAAGTAAATCTGAAAAAGAGCAACTGTTTCTGAGTGATGCTGATGATTTTTATTTTTTGAATCAAGTAAGTTTATCTAAAAATAAACAAACAGTTTGAAATAAGTAAAATTAAGAGACATAAAAAAAACAAATGAAAACTAATATTTGAAATAATGATTTGAACAATATAAGTGAAAGTACAGTACAATCAGTCTGTATATATAATGATATTTTGAATACCTCAGAAAGGGTATATATATTATGCTAGATCATTTTATAAATACTAATGTACAATATTGTATTTAATACTTATTGAGATTTTTAAATTGAAAAGCGCAATTGAAAATCTTACGACTAAAAAGTTATAAAACACGTTGCAAAAATAGATCAAGTTTAATTAAGAAATAATTTAAAACAGTATAACACGTAGGATACTGGTTTGCTTTAATAAGTATCTTTGAACTTTTATAAAGTTATTTGACAAATAAAAGTTTTCAAGCAGTAATTCTTTAAAATTATGAGTTCAATTTTTCAATCAAATTTCAAAAGTTTCAAAATATAAATAGAAATTGTTATTTTTTGTTGTGAGCCTTTATATTCCGTCGAAGAAAGCAAATAAGAAGAATAAATCTCAAACGACAATAAATATTAGTTAATTTAAATTAGTCCATGCAAATTTAATTTGCTATTAAAAGTTTTACAGTTAAAGATTTCATGCTATTTTTAAGTTTAACGATACTTTTGGCGACATTCACTTTATACTCAGAAATATACTATATAAATTCTATACAAAGTGATTTGCTTTTTGAACTAAATAGGGTGAAGCAATATTAGTGGAAGGTCGAGATGATGCAGCTGATTTTGCTGAAATCCGATCATCGATGAAAGTTTTAATGTTTAAAGAAACTGAAATTTGGTCGATCTTCAGAATCCTCGCTGCATTGCTGCACATTGGTAATGTAAAGTACTTTGGTAAGTATTTCTGAGTTTTTTCAACTCCTTTACACTCACTCATCTATTTATTTATTTTATAGTTTATTAATTTATTATTAATTACCAATTTACTTGTGTTGAAAGATCACAAAAAGAATATATTGAGTATAGAAACATAATTGAAATTCTTAAGCAGTATTATTGCATTTATGATAATTTACTCAAGCATATGGACCACGGAAATTTAGAAATACAAATAGTTTACTGAATTATTGAATTAAAAATTTAAATTGTCACAATTTAGCAAAATTTTTATAAATTATCAAAACTTTTAAAATTTATTAGCTTAACGTATTTTGCAGTTGCAATTATTAACAATATTGAAACGACAGAAATCAGAGATACACGCGAAATTGAGAAGATTTCTAATCTTCTCTTAGTAAGTTTCTCTTTATGAATTCATTTTAAAATTCACTACATTATTTGAAAAAAATTATTAGACTATTTTAAAGCTTGATAGACAGGAAGTTGTAGGATAAATAATATTTAATAATAATAAGTACTGAATAATAATAACTATAATAATTAATAATTGTTATTATAATCATAATTATAATCTAATAATAGAGTAATGGAGATTAGGACTGATAAGTGAGGACTTAGTATAAGCGGAAATATTTAGAATAATAGTGATCATAGCAGGTTTGTAATTGAAATTTTTGGCTTTACAGTGAAAGTCTAAAACTGATTTTACTTGCTGCTTTTGTGCTCAATGATAGTCTTTTTCGAATTTTACGTGGCACATTACGTTATTAATACTATCTTCAATGATAAGATTTATTGCCTAACACATATTTACTTTATGATTAACATTTGCATCTTTTTATTTGGTAGTATTGATCTACGTGAAAATAGTGTCGGTAATTCTGTGAGAGTAATAATTTTATATGACGTATGAAAAATTTTTTAGAAAAAAATAATTTTTAAAGATTGATGAACAATCGCTAGCAGATGCATTAACTACGCGAACTTTGTCAATTGGAGAAGAACGAGTAATTTCCTGTCTAAGTGCTGAACAAAGCCTTGACGCACGTGATGCATTCGCGAAAGCAATATATCATCGACTTTTTCTTTACGTGATGGATAAAATCAATGACGCCTTAAACGTGTATGATTATCAGTAATTTTTTTATACTCAAGTAAAAACCATTTGATATTTAAAATTATTTGCTGATTGAATATCCCGAATTACTTATATTTATCAAATTAATAATTTTTTAATTATTCAAAGAAATATTCGCTGAGCTTTAAAAATCACAAACCGATCAATAATAATATTTTAATTATTAAATACAAACATGCAAAAATTTTGATTAAGCATTTTTTTAAGAGGAAGAAAGGAAGGATCTCGATATAGTACAACTTCAATTCTTGACATTTTTGGTTTCGAAAATTTGGCGCGAAATAGTTTTGAACAATTTTGCATTAATTATGCAAATGAGGCTTTGCAACAATTATTCATTCATCACACATTCAAATTGGAACAAAAGTATGCTTGTCATTCATAACTAAATTATTTTTTGCTATTTTCAATACATAAAAAGATTAAAAATATTAGATAAAAAAGACAATATGGACAAATTTTTAATATAATCCAACATAACTAATATTAGTTCAAGTAAGCTTTATCCTTAAGTATCGCTAGCTGATTTGTTCTGATAATCTTTTTATCAGTTTACAAACTAAATCGTTTTTCTTCATGTTATTGCACATTTATTACAAAAACATAGTTGATATTAAAATGCTCATTTTCAATCTCTAATAATTATTCAGAATAATAAAGAAACAAGAGCATTATGCAATTATATAATAATTAGGCTAATTTAGTATCTTATTGCAATCATTTTTATCAATTGTAGTCGAAGCAATACATTTCTTTTAAACTGTACTTCTGATAGTCAGAAAGCTCGCAATATCAAATTGGCAGTTCATAGTTATGCTTTAAATTAAAGTTTAACAAAGGAATCACTCAAAAATAAAAAACAAAACTTTCTTGAATTTTATTTGTAAATAATTTGATTTTCAGTAAATACGACACAGAAGAAATAAATTGGGGACCGATTGAAATCAATGACAATGTAGAAGTTTTAGATTTGATAGCTTCAGGACCGATGAATATTATGTCAGTAATTGATGAAGAAAGCATCTTTGCTAAGGTGACTTTTCAGCTTTGACAGCTAAATTTGTTTGCTTACTCAGCTTATTCACTTTTTCAATTACTTAGCTTTTCAGCTTTATTATATAACATTTTAAAATTTGTATAATCATTATAAATTCTAATACTTTAATATTTAATGGATGCAATAATTTCAAGACAAGAAATAAAAGTTGTAAGTGATGCAAGTAATTTTGCTATATAATAATTTGCTATATATCAAGAAATAAAAATTAAAATAAAATATAATTAAAGCAATTAAATTTTAGGGCACTGACCAAAGTATGCTGAAAAAATTGCATTCTTGCTTTGCTAGCAAAGAAAAAGTATACATTAGGCCTAAATCTGATTTGAGCAAGTCTTTTGGAATTGCACATCACAATGGCATAATATTTTATCAATCCAAAGGTTAAAATTTCTGGCTACTTTATAAAATTTTCTTCTAAATGTACTAAAAAATTATATAAAAATTTATTTAATTTATTCGCAAATACTTTGTGAGCTTTTGAAAATTATTGCTCAAAAATAATAGACATTTAAAATGTCTCATTCTTTTTAAATTGAAGATTGAATTTTGTCTATCAAATATTAAACTTTTAGCAAATGCGACGCGACGTAGGCTAAATAAAATATTTCTATTAATAAATAAAATTGAGAATAAATATTATCTAATAATTCCACATTATATATATATA